AAAGGAGCATGCGACTAATACCACTTTTGATCTCTTTATATGGAAGGAACTGATCGCTTTTGTTCGGGCATGTCCTATGAAGAGACTAATTGTTCACATTTATACCCGCAAGGGTATAAAAAGCGACTAGTCACTTAAAAAATAAAAATAAAAATTTTCGCCAGCTGAGATTCGAACCGGGGTGCTCAGTTTTGTTAGGCGAATACTCTCTCTGTGTGCCAACGCCGCACATGAAACTTCGTTGACTAAGAGCGTACATATCATTAAATCGTTAATAGTACCCGTTAGAGATGAGTTGGGGACTAATTGATCTCCAATTATACCCACAAGGGATGAGTCGAGACTAATTGACCTCCATTAGTACCCGTATGAGACTAGTTGGGACTAATTAATGCCCAATTGTACCCGATTGAGAGTAATCTCGGAATACGCTCTTTAGAGATTAGTCGCACAATTTTTTGCAGGGCAACTACAAGTGCACACATATAGACGTCTACCTATACCTTCATACACATGTATGTATGTAAAAACCACTGTACTTGTATGCATATCAAAAAGTAATTGAGTTCATAAGGCCAAGGGGCCAATAGTGACGATGCTGAACGCGAGGTGGACGAGGCGGCCAAAGGCATAATAAGATAGAAAAACATAGCCCCCACAGTTGTTGGTTAGGTCGAATAGATCGTTCGTAGTCCATAGGTTTTATTTCCACATCATCGTTATTAAGAATAAATGTGTACACATATATGTATGTATGTATATATGTACATATGTATGTATGTGCGTTGAAAAATGTGTATTTAAAAGTGCGAGATTTGCTTACGTGTTCGCGCATTGGTTTTTACGCGCACCAGTGGTGAGGTGAGTAAGACAGCCTAGCCTGCGCGCATGCGTAAATGATGCAAAGACTGCGAGCGCGCACAAAGTTCCAGCAATAAAAAAAACTTTAGACAATAATCAAAATTAACTACAATATGAAGCGTAGCAAAGTTAAAACAAGTAGATATCGTCGTCGATAAATACCCATAATTGTATGTACATACATATGTATTTATTATGCCGACGAAACGTTTTAAGAACGCTAATTTTAGACTCAGGAAATATTGTAAAACGCGCCTATAAACAAATTGTTTAACGACAATATGTCGCACACAGTTTAAAATTTTTATTTCGCTATTAATTATGCGTGCAGTAAATTAATGTAAGTTTGAATGGAATAACCAGGAAGCAGTTTAAGCGCGACGTTAACTAGGAGATTGTTGTGGGGAATGTAATCAGTAGTCTTTAACCTCTTAAATTTGGCAAACTGTGTATCTAAGGAATATCGAAAGGTATGCAAAATATGAATGTCTGCTACAAAACACGTAGTTGGGCCACAAGTACTTGGCATCATTATTGATAGCAGACCGAGGATTTTAATTGTTACATATTTCTCTATTTTACGAACAATAGAGGCAGCCATAGACCTAACCTTGCCTGAGTAGTTATTTCAGCCGCCTATCGTTTCCCTTCTTTTCGAAACAAAAACGCTGACATTTCATCAATGGAAAAACAAAATAAAAAAAGCTTCAAATAAACTGTCTGATCCCATTTTTTACTTTCAATAACTTCGGCGGAAGATCCGAATGACACTATCTTCTCACTTGATGTTTGAAACCCAATACGCCAAAACCGCTCTTCCATTTTCTGGTCCTTGAACTTGGCGACAATGACTAACGTTTTAACCGATGTACATATATGAAGTTGCCGTTTCAACCACAACAGGGAACCCGATTCGAAATATTGGCCTATTGCGCGTTTCCATTTGCAGGGTCTGAGTTCGAACCCAGTGTCCAACCAACATCAAAAAATTAAAATCATACACGTTTTTTCTAATAGCGGTCGCCTCCGAGTGTAATCTACCATAACATGAGAAACCGCTTCTCTTAAAAATACAATCGCCGTTCGGAGTCGATTCACAAATGACATAAATTTACATAAAATCTGTTTTTTTTTGTGTGCCGGTGTTAATTACTCAGAAACTATCAGGCCTATCGAAAAACTATATTTATTGAATTATGGAGAATTTTGTTAGCTTTCGTTTGGCATATTTCGTATTAAAACTTGTAAATTGGTACGTGATTAAGTTGAACCACTTTTTAATAATATCTCCAAAACTTATCCATAGAAAAAAAAATTAACTCGATTTTCGGAGTCAACGAGAGATTCTACATAAGAAACGAAATTTTTGATCCAGTGTAATTACCTTGTAGACTTGCCCATAGGTGCCATTGCCGACGACCTCGATTAGCTCGAAGATACCAGCGGGATCCTGAAATTCGAGATAAGGAAAAACAGATTAGTTATAATAAAAAAAAAATAAAATGAAATAAGGATAAATACATACATACATATGTACATATGTATGTAAGTTGGAAATAGCAAATGAAATATCAGCGATAAAGCGATAAGTATCCTGACGAAACACAAATGTCAATGGCTTTGTTTACAAATCACTTCAAACGCACACAGGTCAATGACATCGATGGAATAAAAAGGTAAAATAAATTGAATAAAAACCGATACAAAGTGGCAAGAATGAGGGCAGGCGAAAAAATCTTCACGAAACAAAATTAAGCAGAAATGAACAAAGGATTTATGGTAGGCACTTAAGTAGATATTTGAAACTTGTTTACTATAATCGCACTATTTTTGGGATGTTTTCTAAATGTTTTCAACCGTGTGCACGTACATACATATATACACACACGCACACGTGTCCAACAAATTTCAACAGGTACACTTCGATTACAACAATTACAAAAAAAAATGAAAGAACAAAGCCACCCAACAATTGGGGCTACAGATGTATATCAAAAGCAAATGGATAAATATTTGTACCTTGTTGTTGTAATTGTACAGAAACACACACAAACAAACTATCACTACACCCACACACAGCCGTGAAACGACAATGAGCGGAAAGCAAAGGTAAAACAATTAGAACGCCTGCACCACCAGAAGCCAAAGGAAGGATGCAAAACAATGATATGGGATGTAATCCGACGAAAACAAAACCAACAACACAAAAAACATCAACGAACAATGAGTGGTGAGTGGTGAGTAGCGTAAAGTAGCACGAAGAGGTTAAAAAATAAATAAAATAAATAAATAAATGATGAAAGCAAAAATAGTGTTGAAAAAATCTGGCATAAGTGCCAATGTTCATAGTTGGTTGGTGGTAAGGTGGAAAGGTGGTTACCTCCCACGCGAATAACCGACCATTGTGAAACATATCGAGCGATTTGGGAAAGGCGAACTCATAACGTTTAAACGTCGTTTTACTTTACTTTTCCATAACATACATATTTGGGATGCCTATAAGTACTTATGTATGTATGTATGTATGTAAGAATATTCGGTTTTTGTTTTTGCCCTTTTTTCACTTTGATTGCTGTTGCCTTCATTTTTCGGTAAGTAGGTACTTTTCTGTCGTTTGCGGTTTGAGTTAGCCAAAAAATATGTGTCATATGCTCACAAACACTCGTATGTACATTTATACACACACACACATAGTATACATATGTATATCGATCTATACACATAAAAAAAGTACTACAGTACTATTCACATAAAAGTTACCACTGCAGATATGTATTTCTTTGGCTTATTTAATGTTAATTTTTTTTTTTATAAAAGTCCTAGCTGGTTATACAACAAACACCACATAAATCCACATTACAAACTTTGTACAAAAACTATAAAAATTCAATAAATATTCACTAAAATTTCAAACAATCTATCTATTCAGAAAAGCCCATTTAATTTTAGAGCAATAAGTGAGACGTAGATGCAAGCGATGTTCTTGAAAATCGATAATAGCGGCCTGAAATTTGTTAACATCGCTAAATTGACGATAAATCGATATTAATTTCAACTAAGTTTTAGGCCATAGGGTCCCTTGTACTACTAACGTAAATTACATAGAAATTAGATATTTATTTTCTATTAACATAAATAACAATACATAAAGAGCCCGTCAGACGTAGCAATGCAATATATTTCGAAAAAGCTGTCAAATTGAGAAATTTCAGAAACCAGTTGAATGAGCTGTCACACCTTGCATGTAAAGTGTGTGTCGAAGGAGGTTTTTTATTTCCGAAAGGCGAATTGCAGACTGCTAGTGCAGCACGAGCAAGTTAAAATATACATACATATATCCGAAATCGATTTGCGCTCTCTCAATTGGAGTCAGATTTCAATTTGCAATTTTTATTTCTGAAACTGATTTCCGAAATGTGACAGAAAGGTCTTTCTGGCTGTTCATACATCAAAATAAAATTTCTCTTTCTCAATTTGACAGCGAATTGCGGGGACTAATTGGAAATATTGCCAAGTCTAACACTCTTTAAAGGAAGAGTCTTATGAAGTAAAAACTCCACGAAAACCAGGCAAACAGCATCCCTGTATGCAATTTCTCTTTTCATATTCATGTTAATAGTCTCTCCTCGCGTTTCGTAAAGTTTCTGAACACAAACATCTGGTTAGCTGAAGACTGTAAAATCGATATCACCTTTTTTTTTTTTATTGTGAATGTGTGAATTTCTTTTATAAGGTAATATTTTCCCAGTAGGGTATTGTAAAATAGTTCTTTACTCTCTTTGTAGCGGTGGAACAACATCCAACCAACGACAAACAATGAACACTTCAGCGGCGAATTTTGAGCATGTGTATGTGGGTGTGGTAGTACATACCCTACAAGACAGCTGAGTATCATATGAGTACTCATATTATCA